GTATTAAGTTTTAAACAATGAAAAACATTGAAGCAGCAAAAGGATCCATAAGTCGCATATTTTGACATTAAATGTAGAATATTTCTTTTTTTGTTCAACATTCAACTGAACCAGTAATACTGGAACAAAATTGTTAATAAAATAATTGCAAAAAAATGAAAAATTATAAAAAAAATGTCTTAACATTTGAACATTTCTAGTGAGATAGGTGGGCCTGTCTGTGTTTTTGTAGCATGTTCAGTCCGGCTGCAGGAGGAGCTGCAGCAGCAGATCAGGAGCAGCATTCACTCTGTTTTTGTGCTTTGTCTTCATTTTTGTGAGCACAGAAAATCCCAATTCACACAAATATCTAACAGTGAAAGCAATAAGCATAGAAACACTCACCCTACTCAGGACGGGATATTTACTCGCTCTGTGTGTCATGAGTCACAACTGTATATTCCAAACATACATGCAGATTGTGACAAGGCGACAGAACAAAAAATCTCTTGTGACCCACCTGAGGGTTGTGCCCCAGTCGTTGGGAAACAATGGGTTACAGCAAAATGTCTCATTTCCACCTTCAGTCCCTGGACAGGCTGATGTCATAAATAATATACATGCCAATAAAATCAAATAGAACGTATATTAATGTAATTATTCATCCGTTCAATCATCCAGTCAAGTAAAACTCTAGTCCCCTTCAGTCTCAGTCATTTACACATTTACAGTTCATATTGCTGCATTGCACATCTCCATGGAGACAAGCATTAGGCATCAGTATCCAACAAAACTTAGGGTTGCTCAGTGCTTCAGGGCCGTGGTGTGATTCGGGAGATCACGTGCCACAGCAGAGTCCAACCCTTCCTCTTCACTGAGCACTGACTCCTGGATGACATGATACTGGGGCTAATAGGCTAACAGGCTAGCGGGCTAACGGGCTAACCCACATTCCGTCCTGTCCATGTGCACACACTCACGTGCACACACTCACATGCACACACTTGGTCAAGAAGCAAATACAGGGACCTTTTTTAGTTAGCTCACAGAATGGTATTAAAGCCCAGAGGAAACCTGGCTCTATTCATTTTTCAAATGATGTGTCCAGAAAAATATGTACACTCTTTACACACAGAACATATCAGAGCCACAGGAAATGTTTGAAATTGATCTCAACAAATCATTCTCTTTTCAAATGCTCCTCTGGCTCTGCTCCTGTCTGCTCCTGTGGCTCTGCTCCTGTCTGCTCCTGTCTGCTCCTGTCTGCTCCTGTCTGCTCCTCTGGCTCTGCTCCTGTCTGCTCCTGTCTGCTCCTGCCTGCTCCTCTGGCTCTGTTCCTGTCTACTCCTGTCTACTGCTCCTGTCTGCTCCTGTCTGCTCCTGTCTGCTCCTGTCTGCTCCTGTCTGCTCCTGTCTGCTCCTCTGGCTCTGCTCCTGTCTGCTCCTGTCTGCATATCCAGACTCTCTTGCTTGTCTCATTTCCTGTCCAGTCTGTGCTCTCTCCTGAGGCATGAGGCACTTTAACTTTACACAATCACTCTTAAACTCCTCACAAACAGTTACTATGGATACTGTGGGGGGCAGTGCCATAAAGTGCACACATTAAAGCTTTTGTGGCATTGTTACATGGCTTTTTACTCTATACATCCATATTATGGCCTGTCATTGCACCAGTGAACACGGAAACCTGGTCAAACCTCCTGTCAAAGCTTGAACTGCTCAGATCTCTGACTCTGGCCTGGGCCTGGCTAGTACTTGTTAGTACTTGGATGGAGACCAGAGGGAGTACCATGTGTCTCAGTGCGGCACCATTTCTGTTCATAGGTAACTTTGCGTACCCGTGCTGCCTAGTATGAAAATGTTGTATGAGAAGTTGGAGCATAGACTGTATAAAGAAGTGGACTGAGGGAGTGTGATATCACTCACAGCATTCAGCTCCAGTCAAATGAAGCTCATGAGACCAGCCGTTATAGGGGTGAATTTGGAGCTAGGATCCATATTCGGAATAGGAACTGTTTACTTACAAAAAACAAAATAAAAACACCAAGATCATGTAGAGCGGGTTAATATGAACATTTTAAGAACAGAGTGAGAAGCCGGACAGCAGCATTTACAGAGAGAGGAGCAACGTGTTTTCAGTGCAAAGTGAAACCGAGCCAGAGTCAATGGAGTCGGAAGGGCTGCCATGCTCACTTCCTGTTTGAAGTGCATTGGCTCTGTCCATTTATATATACAGTGCATGGGTATTAGGGGCCCGATAGCACAGATTCTGAGCCTCACTTCCATCAGTCTGCATTAAACATGACTATCTCCATGAAGACAGGCCAAGTTATAAATTAGATCTGTGCATTGGTGAACCCACTCACAGTAAGAATGACTTTAAGGTTGTGAAACAAAACACATAGCTCAGCTCAGTTGGTCAAACATTTGTCCACTGATCTGAAGGTTGGTTGTTTGAATCCCGCTCTCAGCATAAACAACATTGGTTGAGCGTCAGATCCACTGACCCACAGGATGGCTAGTGTGGTTCCAGCTCCCACAGATGAATGCTGTCGTTGTGTCCTTGAGCAAGACACTTAACCCACCTTGCCCCTTGTGTCTGCATACACTGGTGTGTGAGTGTGTGTGAATGGGTGACTTCTTCCTTGTTGCGTTGAGCCTTGAAGGTGGAAAAGCGCTGCATAAAAATGGGACCATGATAAGGACAAGCAGGCGGTGCACTGTACTGAGAAGTGACTCTATTACCATTCATTTATTTTTAATTGTAATGTCATTTCATTTTTTGGAGGCAATAGTGAATGAGACAAAATCCTGCAGTCCTACAGTGGCAGAATCCTCCACAGACAAAAGACAGCACATACCCACAGTCATGACTCACAGTGCCCCCCTGTGGCCGTCTCCTTCACTACACCTCCGGTCCCTGTGTCCCCCTCTGCTCCACACTCTCATCTGTCTCCTGTCACACCGCCACATTGTCTCGCCCCTGTTCCTGCTTCTGAGCGCTCTGATTGGTCCGTGGCCCGCCTCTGTTGCCACGGTGATTTGTGGAGCATCTGTTGTAGGCTGCGGGTGTCTGACGAGGTGTGACAGAGCTGTATTTTTAGCTCAGTGCCAGGTATCTGAACGTTTACTTCAAATGGACTACAAGGCTCTGTGTGTGTCTGGGGATGGGGGAGGGCTCAGCAAGATTGTGTTTTTGATTTGTAAAAAAAAAAGGTGTATTTTTATGTTTGAGGTGACATGACAGCGCTCTGTAGGCCAGAGATGGGGGCATGCCAAATGTCTATTGTTCATCTGTGTATATATGTGGGTGTGGTTCAATATTGTGGGATAATATATATTTTTCACTAATTGAAATTATTTAGAGCTGCGAACTGAAATCAGAATTTGAATAAATGCTCAAAAGGTACAATTTTTACTACTGGTGCCATCGTTTCCTCCACAAACTACAAAATCTGCAAACTCCTGTTCTATTTTGCATGAAAACTAACCCTATAATTTAAATCTGTACAAACATGTTCTGAAATGTGATTCTTGTTTTAGTTTGTCAGTTCAGATTCTTTTTGTTGGTTCTTCTGGCCATGTTTAAAATGTAAACTTTGAACACAAGTATACTGTAGTAGTATTGAAACATAAATCGGCAAATCTAATTGCACTGCCAAACCTACTTCCTTTTGGATGATTTTATAGATACAGATACTGGCTCAAGCTCCATCTGACAGTAGGCTGTATTAGGATCCAGCGTGGAAACTGGTTTTGTTTTGTTTACTACTCTGGAAAGGTACAAATGTTTCTGATGAATTACATTAAGATGTTTAAGATGTTGCCAGGGAACATTTGATTTTGTGTAAATACAGAACACCACCTAAATCCACAAATGGTATATTTTATTCACTCACTTTCAACAGGAGGTGCTGATACTTTGCAGTAGTATCACATTGGGGCTGCTCTACATGCATCTCTGTGGTGGAATGTTCAGCAGTTACCAGGGTAACACAATGCTCACTTAACAAACTCTGACAAAGAAAAGAAAAATAGATTTAAAAAAAGATTATGTATTACTCAAGAAACTGAAGAAAAATACAAACTTGATTTAAAGAGCACATTTCAGGAGCCTGTAGTGATGTGATTCATGGTCCTGTTTCAGAGTTTGGTGAGAGGGAATAGCGGAAAAACTTGGCTAATGCGAGATTGTAATTTTATTTGAGAGGGACTTGTTCAACAGCATACGTTCTTTCTGTCTTTCTGGTCAGAATGTGCTAAACTCAGATTAAAGTCTAACTTAACATCACCCCCCAGGGAATGTTGAGGACGTCAGCTGCAAAGGATCACTAGTGTTTGTATCTGTGGCTGTATATTTGTATTTGCGTATCAGATGTCTTGCCACTCGTTCTCAGTTTGGTGTAAAGTGTCTTGTGAAGTTGTGATTTGTTTGTATGGTTTTGTATGCATGGATTTATTTAAATACATCATTTGTCCACCAACCCGTGAGAGGTACAGTTCCCGCTTGGACAAAGTCGTATAATAATAATCACACTTTTAATGCTCTTCACAGGCCTCTCAAAGCCTCTCAAAGCTCTGCACTGTGGTCCTTATTCACTCACTCCAGCCACAGCTGCCCTGAGGTGGTCTGATGGAAGTGAGGCTGTCAGTCTGCACCATCGTTCACTCACGTGCACACCATATTCATACGAGGCAATGTCTTGTCTAAAGACTCAACAGCAGAACTTAGTCTGAGTTGAAATCGGTTCTCCTACCTTTAGCAGGACAAGCTGGTCTCTTGCCCACTAAAAACAATATACAGATCCAGACTGAGCTCTTTTCTGTATGCTGAGTCCCTGAGTGTTACAAAATCAGCACATGGCACATACACACAGTACAGTAATGTAATGTACCCTTTGCATTTGACCCACCTCCCAACACACAAACACCGCGCAGTGTGGACCTGGACCAGGGGACTTTTACTTGTGTGTATTAAACACACACATAGTACTAACAGGAGGTGTGTGTGTCTCTTACAGCGGTGGTGGTCCCGGATGGCCCAGAGAAGTGCATTCTGGGAGAGGAGGGGGGCAGTGAGGAGGACCTGCTCTATGAGGACTACCGCAGCTCCTCGCACCGCTTTGGAGTGCCAGGAGGGGGCGGAGGAGAACAGCTGGCCATCAATGAGGTGCGTGTACCTGCTGGACTCAGTGGGGAGGCAGATCCTAATTATTTTCCTTGTGAAGTATGGGGGTTGGGCTTCTCTGTTTAAAAGTCTTCAGTCACCATTTCCCAACCTTGGTTAAAATTTGTGTTGAAAATCTCAATTTACAATAGAAATAGAAATAGTTGTTACTGAGTGATTGACTAATTGAGTGATTGACTGAGTCCAACCTTATTCCTCACTTACTTTATTAGTAGTTAGTAGTGTCCCTCTAGATGATATCTTTGAAGGATCTGTACTACTCTTTTCTGATCTGTTATTATGTTGCTTCCTCATCACAAACACACCTGGAGTTGTGTTTTGTTTCATTCACATGTTTAACACATAAACCCTGCACATTTAGCCTGTGTTCTTCTCTCAAACAGAAAACACTGTTCCACCTTGTGATGTCATGTGGTAATGCAGGAAGTGCTCCACTGTGTTTTTAAACTCCACACAGTTTCACTAGAGTCATTTGGATCATTTTAGCTCTGGAATTTACAATCTCTACTGAACTAAGGATAAAATGAGCTGCTAATGTGAAATCTACCACTGCATGACATCATAAAGTGGAACAGAGCATTTGGAGCTTTGGAGATGTAGACAGACTAATAATAAAGGACTACAAACATGTGAATGAAACAAAACACAACTCCAGGTCTGTTTATGAGGAGAGAACAACTTTATAACATGTACTGTATAACATGTGTATTATATTCTCCTAAAAAAATGATGTGCATTTGTGTTTTATAGAACCGTCTTTCTGTTTATTGAGGTTTGTACTAGGGCCCGACCAATATAGCTTTTGTTGTGGCCGATATGAAACCGATAAAATGGGAGTTCGAGCCGATATATTGCCGAAATATATTTTCGAAATATATTTAGTGATGTTAAAATTCACTGTAAATCTTGAATTGTTTAAAAAAAACTTAGGTTTGGCTCTAGTGGATTTTAAATTGGGTTTATTTAGGCAACATTTATTGTTATTCTGACTCTTTACGTCATATTTACAGACAGTAGGTCAGCCTAATGGCATTTTTGCATCACATTCTAGCTACTAGTGATGGGTATTTCAGTTCTTTTTAGAGCACCAGCTCTTTTGGCTTGGCTCACTGAAAGCAGCAGCTCTTTCGGCTCCCAAGCGGCTCTACAGGTTGTTTTGTTGCAAGCAGGACTAAACCAGAACTGAACCAGGACTGAGTGTCGGGACTTGGTCTGTATCTCTCTCCCGAGCCCAAGATTAGTCCTGGTTTATTTATTTTATGCTGAACTACAGCGAAACATGCACTTTTTTTTTTAATCTTATGCACACGCAGATTTCTGAAAGTTTTGTTTACAGCCGCTGCCACTGTCAAACTCCCACGAGTCTGCACGCGACGTGAAGAGAAAAAAAGTGAGAGAAAGAGAAAACATGGCTCCCAATATGGAGCCAGCTTCCATCAAAGAGCCGGCTCTAAGAGCCGCTTCGTTCACGACTAACCCTTAACTACTAGCTAGTAAAGAAACTAGCACTATTAGCCTTTAGCCATAAATACGTGCGCGCCGCGGTAATTAATGATATGTGCAAATGTCATAATTCACACATTTATTCACAGCTCATTTACATACCAATGCAGGTCCAGTAACTAATATATGGCCAATATAATCACTTTACAATTGACCAATAGAAAACAGCCTATTTATGTGCGGGAGCTACAGCAGCTAATCAATAACAAATCGACATATTTCCAACACTCAGCGCTCACACAGGCTCCTCCTCACATCACAAGTCTGCACTAATACACGTCCTTTTAATCCAGACTCAAACCGTAAAAAGAATATAATCTCAGTGTTTGGATCTGTGTCTGCGGGTGTAAACAAACACGTGAGTGACGTGACTCTGGGGGTGTGTTCAGGGACAGTACGGACACACACACAAATGCCAGATAAATACTGATGTGGAGCCACATATTAGGACATTTATCTGTCTGTATAAATATCGGCCAACCGATATATCGGTCGGGCTCTAGTTTGTACACATAAAAGGGTGAAGTATATTGCCCAGTGACTGAAGAACAATCTGAGAAATGTGGGATTGGACCTACCAATGCTTTGAATGCTACAGTTCTTAATGCATTTTCTAATATCTTGCACTGTGCCTGATTTTTTCAGTCTTATACCATAAAAAACAGAACATAGTCCATTACAGTTTCAGTTTCAGTGGTCCAAACTTATTCCTCACTTACTTTATGCATTCTGACCATCATGATTATTCACCACGATGAGTTTTCTACATTTTTTCACAACTCTCAGAGACCAGAGCGGAGTTCTGTCTTCCTGTAATTCTAACAACAACTAGCATGCTAAAACGCACTTCTTGTTTCTCCAACAAAATAATGCTTTATAAACAAAGGCATGCAGTACACAGCAGACTTATTTTGACCTTGAGAGCTGAGCTCTGTACTGTACAAGACACATTTGTTGAAATGGGGAAAACCTGACCTTGAGTTGACTTTATGGTGACTGACTGGAGACAATAGACCTCTGTCAATAGAAATCAAAGCACTTCCTGTGGTGAGGGGACAGAGCTAACATTCTGCCACTGGTCTTGTCTTTTTTACTGCTCTTTCAAATATCTATAGACAGCAGATATTTGTTCATTACATCACATTTGGTGGCATCAAAACAGGAGAACAGCAAATTAATCACAGAATTCCATGTATTGTGTCTCTAGTGCAGAATGGTGAGATAACATATTGCAGTGACCCAAGGTGGCCCCATACAGACCTTCTCCTAAAACCCAAATCTGACCAGGATCTGAGGGCAGTACTGCAAACAGGCCAGCAAAACAGCAGTCACTGAATGCATTTGCACGTGTAGATGAGATATTGTAGACCTTTTTTTTTAAATATCTCTGTCTGCAGTTGCACTATGTTAGTCCCTGTCATATGGCACAGAAGAATCTCAAGAAGAAAATGCACATTTCAATCAATCTTTTATATCAGTGCTGCCCAAGCTTTCTTCGCAGAGGGCCACATATTGAGACATATTAGAAGCAGAGGAGCACAGAGCAGTGGTCTGTGCAGGGAGTCTTTTAGATGTGCATTTTACACACAGAGCTACTGTAACAGAGACGAATAAAACCTGGAAAATAAATCTGAGGTCTGTATCACAATGCAATAGTTAGAATTAGAAGGATAGAATTAGAGGTGGTCCAATATGGATTTTTTGAGCTGATATATTGTGCTGATTGTGCTGGATTGAGCTGATATTTGTCTTGCTGTTGTGGATAACCTCGTATTAAAAAAAACAACAACATGTATTTATCTGGAATATAAATTCATATTTTCACTCATGAGACATCTGATGCACTGAGGACAAACAGACACATGGCACACAGACCGGAGCAGTGCAGTCAGAGGACTGGTGCCAAATATCCTCCTCATACTGAGATCTGGAGAAATCCTCTGACATCAGTGACATCACCGATAACTGTTAGACCATCATTGGAAATTTGGAGTAAAAATACTGCCTATAACCATTTGGACCAATACAGCAGCAGCAGGAGGGACATAGTGTGAACACCCCTGATTTAGATCATTCTCTGTTTGAATTATTTTTATGACCTGCACTAAAGTCTGTGTTGCCAAATGCAATTTGTGAGATTTAAATTCCTGGCAGTTAGATTTTCCTAGTCAAAGATTCAAAACACATAAACAGCCACTTTTATCATGCAGCTCTTTTCAAATGTGTGTGTGTGTCCAGGGCTTTCTGAGCACCACTCACAGTTAAAGGTCTTTTATTACACAGTTTGACTCTTGTGAGCTTTAAAGTATGTTAGAATGTTACCTCTTCACAAACACACCTGGAGTCTAGTTTGTCTTCATCTCCGACACTTAAAATGCTCTGTTCCACTTTGTGATGTCATGAAGTGGTAGTTTTAGCTCATTAGGCATTGGCAATTCCAGAACAGAATTCATCCAAATGCTTCTAATGGTGGTGTATAGATGTTAAAAACACAGTAGAGCACTTCCTGTATTGCCACATGACATCACTAGGTGGAACAGAGTGTTTGAGAGAAGAATACAGCCTAAATCTGGAGGCCAAAGATGTTCATTTTGTCATCTTATATACATTAACTTCTTGGGTTCTTTTTAAAGACAATGCAGTAAAGTGTGTTTATCTTGTTGACATGTTTCAGCTGCTGCTGCAAGTCATCTTCAGAACTGTCACCGGTGTTGGTGGTGACGTGTCGTATATCAGCTGTTGTTACTTCCTGTAGGCGTGGTCATCTTGGTGGACCAGGCATGTCGCTCAGACTGACCACGCCTCCCGTCGCCCGATGTTCTGTGGAGGAGGGTGTCCCAGATGTGTGAAAGGAGGAACATGCCATCAATAAAACCAACAAACCCCGGAAAAAACTGAACAAACCAACAGAGGGCAGCAGGACCATAAGAACACAATCACACTACCATACATTAGAGGAATAACTGAACCATCCAGAGAGCCATGAAAAAACACAACAGAAGCACTGGAGTCAAACCAGACACAAAACTCCATCAACAGCTCATACACCCCAAAGATAAAATCCCACAAGAACAAAAATGCAATGCCATCTACGAAATCCAATGCAAATCATGCAATAAATCACACATAAGGGAAACAGGCCGGGCATTTCACATTCGAAAAAAGGAACACCAAAAGGAATGTGAAAAGGAAACGTCAAGGAGACTCACCAGAACACAAAAAGATAAAGCAGAACAGGAAAACCTAAAATCCGCTATATCAGACACTGTAAAAGGAACAACCACATTCTGGATTGGGACGGGGCTCGGGTCATTGGATCAGAAAACAACAAGTTCAAGTTCAGATCAGGGAGGACAGTGAAATCAGGAAACGAGGCACGGATAGCATTAACCGTGATGACGGAGCGTTCCTCCTTTCACACACCTGGGACACCCTCCTCCAGAGAACACCGGGCGACAGGAGGCGTGGTCAGTCTGAGC